GCCACGCTTCTCCTCATAGAGCCCAGCCTTAGCTGAGCAATTAATTTTATAGTACAAAAGATGTAAAGCACTCTAAAAGAACTTTTCTGTGAAAAGACAGACTTTTGCTGTCAAATTTGGATCCAGTCTTTTTAAACCTTATTGGTTTTCTTTTTTCAATTAGAACCATTTTTGAAGAAAACCATAGACTCTCCAGAAAAAGAATTGTTTGGGTTTTTTTGTTTGTTTGTTTGTTTTTTCGGGTGGTTTTTTTTTTTTTACTTTCCTGTGGCCCAACTTCAGATTATAAATTAAAAGTCCTTTATCTAATATCTGCATTTGTTTTTTCTAATATCAGTTTATTTTCTCTGATATCAGTTTGTTTAATACAATTTGGCAAGATCAAAATACATCCTCATATAAAAAATTTTGGTTATTTTTTGCCACTTAAGTGTAGTGCTTAAACAGAAAGTTAGAAGAACACCTATAAGTGTGTTGAAATTTTCCTTTTCCAATTCCTATGAATTTCTGAGTTCTTGCAATTTCAGCTTATCACAGAACAGTGTCACAATTTGTGTAAATAAAGTAAATGAAGCTTATGGAGGGGCAGAAACTGCTCAGATGGGAAAATGCTCATTGTCACATGTGAAAATGGCTATTCTGCCTAAGAGCAAGAAAGAGATACTTTCTTATACTGTTGGAGCAGGAACTAAAGATTACAAAATTCATTACTGGCTTAACGACCATTAGGGGTATGGAAGGCAATATATCTAAAAATAAGAATTTAGAAAGAATAGGTGCATAACATCTAAATAAGATTACATAATTGGCCAGAGGCATATACTACTGAGTTTATTACAGAGGACAGCAACAAGATAGGTTTTTCTAGTAACCTATTTAATGAGTAAGGAGTTTCCAACCTGAAGGCAGGAGATTTGAATCCACCAGGTGCTCCTCAGGAGAAAACAAAGTGCTTCCTCAGTCATGTCTGTTTCTGGGAGTCAGTTGTAAAGATGTGTCAGTAATGTTGTATTCTAAAACCCTTTGAGCACAGACTATCACATCTAGCTCATTTTAAAAAAAAACCTGTGATGAAAAAGACCCTTTGGAATAGACTGTGTGTCTTGTACCTGCTAGACCATGACCCTTTGGAATAGACTGTGTGTCTTGTACCTGCTAGACCATACAGACAAATACAAGAACGCTCTCTTAGGGTGGATGGGGTAAGTCAGTACCAAGGTTAAAGGGACTACCATTTGGAAATGAGAGGGAGTTTTTAAAAATCTAGCATGAATTTCAGGCTCCCATCAAGACTTTAAAAAGGCATTAAGACTCTTCTGTCATTTGCTTCATTTACACACAGCAGGGGCCTGGTATTTTAAATTCCACTATATCTTTGATATTAAAGCCATACTTTCTCTTTTTCAGAATGGTTGGATGGTTGGTAGCATATATCCATTAGATTAGCAGAACGTCAAAACCATTTGGAGGATCTGGGCTATGGTAGTGTCTGTAATGAAGTCTGGGTGGAGCCTCTAAAATGTCATCCCCAGCCTTCTGTGTGGTTTGTCAGCAGGGTCCCCCAGGAGGAATGTCGATTAGGCAGAATGGCTGGAAGGGAAGCTCCCTGTAATGTGACAGAAACATTCATTTGAGTCACAGATTCAGAAGAAATGTTTTGATTTTCTAGTTCCCTTCCTTAGTTTGTACCTGTTTTGTATTCTTTTTTGACAATTGCACTTCTAAAACAGCTTAGCCTCAGGCAGTGAGACTACACCCCAGCCCCCCAATATGTGGAAACTTTGTAGCTAGAATACCTTTTGATTCTTTAGTAGAGGTTTAAGAAAGAAAAAACCATTAAAGTTTATGTGATTCCACCCTCATCCCCCTCTTTGTGGGAAAGTTTAAGAGAGTGTTCATCATCATAACAGGTGTGAACCCTGGTGGTGCCCTGTGTAGAGGTTTGCGGCTTACCCAAAGGTGGTTCTTAGGTGATTCGAATCTGTAGATAAGCAGTCTCTTCCCAAGTAATTTATAGCCTCAGAAACTCAGTGGAGGGTCAGTTATGAGTCGGTTCTGACTGGACCTCAGTGAATTATTAAATTGAGTCCAAGGTAACAGGAAGGACGCAAAGATTACATTTTCTCCTTTTATTTTGTAATTTTCTCTTAAGTTGTCAAAGGGGGAAATCTGATAGGGAAGGTATCATCAAACAAAATGTCTTTACTCATTTTCTGTCAGCTGAGCCACCAACCAGGCAAGCTATTAACTTCAGTTGATTCTGCACTAAAAGTTATCCATTCTCTTAAACACATTTTACTTGGTACATAAAGTTGTTATGTGTGTTTTAGAATTCTCTTGCCACAAGTTGATGCTAAAATTAACACTGCTTTTAATATAAATGAAGAGAAAGTGTCACTGGATGGAATCCCTGAGACTAGCATCACTTGAGAGATTTTAGTTGCTAACATTTTTTTTAATTGTTTATGATTAAAAATAAACAACCCAAAAATCATCACAGACTTCACTTTGTTTGGAAAAATCTGCCCACCTGTGATCATTTTCTTTAGAGAATAATATAATTTGTTTATGGACAGAAATGTGACTCAGTTAGCCAACTTGCCTAAGGAGATGGCTTACAGACAAGATTCCTCAAGTGAGAAGTCTCTTTGATATTTCTTGTGATGTTCTTTATGTTTTTAAAACCAAAAAGAGCAGCACAAGTACAAATTTCATCTTAAAGAATTTGGCTGTAACACACTCTTGTCAAACCATGGAGTTGCTTTGAAAAGCTAAGAGGAGATAAGTGTTTTGCCTATAGTGTCTACTTTGTAGATTCTTCATTCTCCAGTGATTCTGCTGTGCAGATTGGAGGGGCAGGTTGGGTGACAGATAAGCCAGAGTTATTATTTTCCTTAGAACCTCAAGTACTGACATGATTAATAAAAAAAGGCCTTTTTTTTAGGAATAGAATTTGGTGGAGCCCTAATTTATTTTTGCTGTCTGATGGTGTGATAAGAATGATCAAACAGTCATCTTGACACAAGCAAGATAAGAATGTAGCTGAAATTATGTTCTTATGATGTGCCTGTCATTTTGAGCAAAGTAGCTTCTGAGAAATAAAGATATTTTTGAAGGTTAAAAACTTCAGGAACTGGGAGGAAGGGTAAATAGGTATTAATTACTACCCCTGGTGGCATAGTTTGTAGGAAATTGTGCTACTGACCCAAAAGCTATGCCTCAGTGGTGGATTTGAACTGCTGATTGCTCTACTGGAGAAAGATGAGATATTTCTTCCTGGTTCAATTTACAACCTCAGACAGCCCGCTGGAGGGCTAGCTGTGAATCAGTTCTTACAAGTCAGTGTGACTCTATGGCAATGAAAGTTTTTTTTGGGGGGGAGTGTTGTAATTGTCCTAGAATTACACAGCTGTGATTGTTGTACAACATAGTAGATGTACTAAAAGCCAATGAATTGTTCCCCTTTTTTTTTTTTTTAATTGTTCACTCTTAAATAAGGGTCCTGGTGGCCTGAATGATTCCACTGCTTACAAAAAGATTTTCAGTTCAAAACCACTAACAGTTCTGTAGGAGAAGGATGAAGCGGTTGGCTGTCATAAAGGTTTACAGCCTCAAAATCCTACCACTCACTCACTCACTCATTTGCATTGCCTAAGTTTTGGGTCTGACTCATGGTGACCCTGTGTTGGGTTTCTGAGGCTGTAAATTGCAGAGGAAGGTGCTGACACTAAAGCACTTCTGTTCTGTTGCTGACTCAATGCAGTGGGCTCAGCAGAAATACCCTTACCTATATAGTGACTCTTATTAGCATTATATGGCAGATCTCAGTAATAATGCTTTTTAAAAATATAACAAAATGGTGATATTTTAGCCTATGAAAGAAATGAGGACATTGCCATTTACAAGCTGGAGTAAGGAGATCATAGGTGGCCTTTTCTTTCTTTTAGTCCATCCTCATTTCTTAAGACATTGATTACATTCTAATAACTTCACTTCATCTCTGAATCTTTAAATGGTCTTTGAATGGATAGGAAGTAATAATGATAATGTCAATTTTAAGTAAAAGTACCTCTTACTTAACCTGCTGGTTAGAGTCTGAAATGCCATCAAGTAATTAATAAAGGATGACTTGAAGTGATAGGAAATATGCATTATCAAATTCATGCTTGATTGTGCCTCCCTTTGCTGCCTTGTCTGTCTCACACTCTGAATTGCTGGCATGTTGAGGGTGAGACTTTCTCAAGTACCTCACACAGAATATTATTAACTTGCTATTGAGTCAATTTAAAATCTTAGTGGCTCCATGTGTTCATTATAGATCTGCTCCATGGGGTTATAAAAACTGTGACCCTTTGGAAATAGATTGCCGGGCCTTTCTTACAAGGCACCTCAGGGTGGGTTCATGACTGTCAAATTTAGGAATGGTTTTATGCCACCCTACCCAGGGATTCAGTGCCTGGAAGTTCTTTAATAAGAGTAGTTCTTTATTAATAAATAATTAATAATTACTAAATTATATATTCTATAATAGTAGTATGTGGTGGTGGTGTTAAATGCCATCAACTTGAGCACGACTCATAGTGACCCTATGAACATAAGACCTGAGCCCTGTCCTATAACTGTCGTCCTTTGTCTATGTTCATAGCGTTTCCAGAGGTGTGTGGTGTAGGAAGTGGATACCACTCTTGCTTCGAAAATAATATATAGTCTATAATAATATATTAAATAATTACTGTTAATACTAATTAATCACCCCAACCCTGATGTCATTCCTGTTTTACAACAGTGGCACTATGCAGTATTTGTCCTTTTGTGACTGACATATTTCAGTCAGCATAATGTTCTCTAGGATCACCCATTTTGTGTATTTCGTGAGTTCCTTATTTTTCAATGCAGTGTAGTATTCCATTGTGTGAATATACCACAACTTCTGTATCCATTTGTTTACTCTTTGCTATTGTGAACAAAAGCTGCAGTAAACATGGGTGTGCACATATCTGCCTGGGTGGCCGTTATGGTCTCTTTGGGGTATATTCCCAGTAGTGAAATTTCTGTGTCAAATGGTATTTCTGTTTCTAACTTTTTGAGAAAGCACTATATTGTCTTCCATGTGGTTGCACTATTTTACACTCCCACCAGCAGTGAGTAAGGGTTCCAGTTTCTCTACAAACTTGCCAGCATTTGTTGTTTACACAAAATATATTTTCAATGAAAGGTTTTAGGATGCAGTATCTGAAGTGTTTATTAGGCCATCCTACACCTGGAACCAGGTGTGTCAGGTGATTTATGCTGTTGGTTGAATTTTATTTCTTCTAATAATATTTCCTGTTTGTTTTTTTTTAAAAAAGGCCAACTGCTTAAGTTCTATTTGGTATAAATACCACTTCAGATAAGATTTAACTGAGACTGGTCCTATCAGCAATAATCAACTTTGCTACCATGGCCAAGTTGGTATAGTCACTGCCTTAGATACTTATGTTTTCATCTTAATGAGTCGTTTTCCTTCTCTGCACTTCACTTGTGCGTGGGCTGTCGCCACATTCCCGATGACACTGTGTTCAGAGCAGAAAAGACAGAGCAGTCATGCTGATGAGCAGGAGTCGGGAGGTATGGAAGATGGAAGGAAAGAAGAATTTGAGTTGCACCTCAGGCCTGGATGCCTCATCAGAGTTAAGGCTGAAGTCGACAGATGTGATGAACTCTGAGAAAATTAGGGGAAAACTGTAACAGATGTGAAGGGCGTTCAAAGAACATGTTATGAACTACTTTTTTCCATTCCCCAGCTGAACAAGTAGACAAGTTGATAAAAGTGCTGCTTTGCAAACATGGAACCTGTCAGGCTCCTCCAGCATCGCAGTGATTGAAGAGCGAACTTGCTGCATGGCAGCGCTGATGACATTCATTAGCACCTTCCTGGGTGGGGTATTGACCCAAGACCTGATAGTCCTTGATCCCAGCAGCTCTAGAACCTATAACACAGATGCGATGTTACCTCCTTTGTGGCAGCAGGAAGCCCTGAGGTTTATAAGCTGGTGAGTGTCTAGCTTAAGTCACAGAGCTAACAAAGGCAGGCCAAGATTCTTTCTCTTCCGTTCACTCAGATTCTCCCACACAAGCACCTGTTCTTCTAGTCTGCAAGCGTGACTTATAGTATAAGAATGTGAAAGCTCGTAATCGGAGGATTATTCCACTTTGTGTGTGCTTTTAATCTGTAGGGATTTGAGAAATACATCCTTGTTCTAGGGTTTTCTATGTAAGCTGTGTTGTACTATGTTCAGTTCAGCTCTCACAAATACATTCTGTGTTCTAGCATTTGTGTTCATGCCTAGGACAGGAGACAATGGAGACAGTGATTTCCCAAGTTAAAATCATAAATATTAATGATTTTCTGTAAAAAGATTAGGTTTCCCCCCCTAATTGGGCCTCTTTAAGAATTGCTGACTGACTTCTGTCAAGTCAGAACCGACTCATAGCTGACCTTTCCATTCAGCATAGAAATCTTTTTCCTATGGAGTAGCTGCTGGGTTCGAATCATCTGCCTTTGGGTTGGCAGAGCAACTCCTTATCCATTAGGGATCCAGAGCTTCCTTCTTTAATAGCTATTTCTAATACTCCTTTATTTACTTTTATTTATTATTTATTCATGATAAGTTCAGAGATAACCATGAGGCATAGATAGTACTGATACCAAATTGTTTTGCCCAAGTGTCAGGTTGAAGGAGGAGGATGATGGAAAATATGCCCAGAAAAGGGTGAAGAAACTATTGTTTTCCTTTCTTAATCTTACAAGGCACAGCCCTCCTGCATTAAGATTATGACTCCATACAAATATTTCCTTCCAGCCCACAAAAGAGCATCTCAGGGATCCCCCTTCTCATTTTGACCTGATAATTGAAGTGGCAACGTCAGTGGTTTCTCAGCTGCTCCTGGGAGGTACCCGAGACACAACATCAACAGTAGTAGAAGATTAAATGTTACCTGGATTCACAGTACCTAGCCAGTGACTCCAGGTTTCCTTTGCACATGTTTGTGGTAGAAAAAGCAAGATGAATATAATTTAAAACATTTAGCATTTGTTTTAATGGTTAGTGGGGAAAATATAAATAAAGGATGCCTGATTTCTTTTTTTTTTTTAAATCTGCATATTCTACAGCTTCACACAGAAGTACCCACCAGTAAAATTTCTATCAGAAAAGGACCGTAAGCGAATTTTGGTAAGTTTGTACCTCTAATTACTATTTGTAATGTTAAAAGAAACTTTCAGCAAAATTCCTTTTTGTTATTGTTGAATGCAATTCACATACTATGAATTCACATCTTTAAAGCTTATAACTCAGTGACTTTTTGTATAATCACAGAATTTAATATGGTCTTCAGTCTGTTTAGACAGACCTGGTGGGGTTTTGCCTTCTTCACAGTGTTTTTCTAATCTGTGAATTTGAGATGTCTCTCCATTTGCTCAGATATTCACTAGTTTATTTCCTTTAGTGGTAACTGAAAAGTTGGTGGTTTGAACCCACTCTTCTTTGGGGAGAAAGATGTGGCAGTATACATCCTTCCTGTTCTGTCCTGTAGGGTCACATAATTCAACTCAACAGCAGTGGGATTGGGTTTTGATTTATTTCTTTTTTTTTTGTTTCCTATCAACATTATTACTATTCTTAGTATTTATGTTACTTTTGTAGAGTGAATGTTTTGAGCGACTTTTGTTAAATTGTTTTCCAGATATTTTATTCTTTTTTGATAGTATCATAAATGGAATTGTTGACTTAATTTCAATTGTGGAGTGCAGTCTCCTCTCACACAATTTACTGCCTCTGAAAACCTGCTCAGAGTCACCTATGGGTCGGTCCTGACTAGAACATACACAATAACAACAACAGTGCAATGTATAGAAATACAATTGAATGCTGTGTGCACCCACTCCTCATAGAGTAGGTCCCTGAGACCAGATCTTTATGTGAAGTCAGTATTATGCAAGAGTTCAGGGCTGGACCCTTTCTGTGGTGTCTGTGTCCTTCTACCAGTCATTCATTATCTGTCAAGTGCTTCCAGTGCATCTTGGACTGTGTGTGAGTCTTTAGGGTCCCCCTTCTCCACTGTGTCTTCTCACTACCTCAGAATCTGTGGGTGGTGGTATTGATTGGATGTTGCCTGCTGCCTTCTGCTGCCTCTCCTCGGGGTGGACCTTACTTGACCTCCTTCCGCTCAGACCACAGTATCATAGTATCACACAGCCCGCACCTCCGCACCTCTTCCCCCCACCCTGCACCTCCACTCTTGGTGGCTGTGTGTGACTTCTCCTTGCTGCCTTCAAATTCACATCGTTCCACTGTCTCCTGATGCTCTCCATGTCTGGACTGAGACATCTGGAAGAACAGTGGAAGGTAAGGTTTCCCTTAGCTGCCTTCCTTTCTGTGGCCCATCACTGCCACGGCGTCTAGTAGATGATTCAGGGAGGCCTGCAGAGGGCACTCCAGATGCTACGTGAGACTCAAGTCACTGGAGACCCCATCAGAGAATTTACTCAACGTTGTTGTAAATGTGAAATGTCAGATAACAAGATAGTCACTAAGTGAGGACTACATGTGTTAATCTTGTGTTCTGCAGCCTTGCTGAACACATTGGTTAATCCTGATAGTTTTTAATGGATTCCTTATTATTTTTTAATATGTGAGATAATGTCATGTGAAAATAGAGGTGTTTTGTTTTAGCATCTTCCTTTCTAATATGGATAACTTCCCCCCATTTAGAAAGAAAAAGCATAAAGGAGGTGGGACTGCCAGAGCAGTGGGGAGGGAGACTGTTAACACTGAGGAGAACATTCTAATAACATTAAGAAGAATAGAGAGAAAGCATTTTTTAAAAATTAACTTAATAATTTGTTTTCCTCACCTCTCCCTAGCGTCTCATCACTGTTAACACTCCAAGATTAATTCCTTCCTTTCCTTAGCTTTTTATATTGTTGTTGTTGTTATTGTTATGTATCGTTAACTCACACTTAGTTGGCCTTCCATTGGGTTTTCTGAGGTGGTGTAATCACATGGGAGGAGACTGCACATCTTTCTCCTGCGGAGCAGTTGTTAGATTAGAACGAGGTGCCTTTGGGTTGGCAGTGCGCCTCTTTACCACAATGTCACAAGAGGTCCCTTTTTTAAAAAAAATAAAAATTAACTCCTTTTCCCTATTACTGTTGTTATTGCTGTCATTTTTGTTGTAAAAAGAGCAAGGGCCACGTGAGGACAGCCATATGTGACCTTTACCAATCCCACAAAAGGAACCTATCCCTGTCAACAACTTCAGCACACAAAACCAATTCCCACGAGGCCAGACATGTTCCCCATGCTCCTGTCCCTCTTTCTACTCATCCCAACTCCAGTCTTACTGCTCTACTTGATCTGAAATCATTGAGAAGCTTGCAGACCATACATGTTTGTTGTGGTTGTGTGTGCCGTCGAGTCAGAACTGACCCATTGCCGAATAAGTCACACAGGAGGAGATTGCCATCCTACTTGTGTGGAGCAGCTGGTGGATTTGAACCATGTACCTTTAGGTTACCCTCACAACTTCTTGCTACTAGGTCACCAGGACCCCCTGCAGAACCATATAAGGGATGTCAAAGGTTGTAGTTCAGGTTAGTAGTGGAATACACTCACTCAGTCAGGACAGCTTCCAAAATGTTCTTGCAAATACGTCAGCCCCGAGCCTTCTGGCATTAGGCCAGTCCTGCTAATTAGGACCCTGTGTGTCATCATCCTCGCCTCTCATGACATGCACTCCTGTCCACCCCGGCCCAGCTCTTCCAATAAACTTCGGCAAAGGCTCTTAGCTCTGGTTCCTCCTTGGGATAGCAGTGCTACGATCAGCTGGGTCTCATGTCAGGTCTCTGATCCTTTGCTTTGGGTGACAGCTGCTGCTGCTTCAATTCCAGCGAGGATAAGAATCTCTAGCCCTGAAGAGTGCACACAACTTGCCTGCTTTTTTTGCCAATGGTGTGAGATTCTCCACTCAATTTAGTGGCAAGACTAGCCAGTCCCTTTGTGGATTGGCTAACATGCCCTATTTGCATATTCCCACCTATCCACATGGCACAGTCAGTCCGTGGGTGGAGATGCCATTTTGAATAATAAACCCTATAACCACAATTATGTACCATTAAGTCAGCGACCCGTAGCTCACCGTCTAATTGGGTTTTCAGAGGCAGTTAATTGCAAGGGAGAAGGTTGTCCATTTTTCTCCTGTGTTGCAGCTGTTGGATTTGAATCACACACTTTCAGGGTGCCAGTACCATTTCACCACTAGTCTACCAGAGCTCCCAATATTTCACAAATTCTTGATCATTTTTTTGTTGATACTTACTCAGTACTCTATTGTGTATACATATATCACAGTTTGTTTAGCTGTTCATCCATTAATGGACACTTTGAGCTATTTCCAACTCTTGTTATTATAAATAGTGCTGCAGTAAACATGAGTATAGGTGTGTCAGCTTGTATTGTAATATTTATTTCCTTGGGATTTATACATAATCGTGAGATTGTTGGATTCCAACTTTCTGAGGAAGTTTCCAACAGCTATTCATAGTGATTGCTCTGATTTACATTCCTACCAGCCGTTTATGAGAGTTCCAATCTCTCTATACCCTCACCAGCATTTGTTGTTTGATATCGTATTGAACACTCCTGTTTTTGTGGGGAGATGGGCAGTATCCCTCATGTAGCATACAGCCTCTGAAAACCTGTGGGAGCATCAGTTCTGTCAAGTCAGTTCTGACTTGATGGTACATAGCAACAGCACTATCTAATGATCTTAGGAATTTATCATTTTCAGAAGCTTCCAATCATCTAGCTTATCTTGTGTTGATTATGTATCAGTTATATTTGAAAGTATGTATATGCCATAGCTTAGAGCTCCTAATTTTGTGCCAGCATTTCCTTTGATGATTTTTATAGTTTTAGGTTTTATGCCAAGGCCCTTGATCCATTGTAAGTTGGGTTTTTTAAATATAGTATGAGTTTTTTGTATAGTATGAGTTGTATATAGTATGAGTTTTTTATATAATATGGTCTTGTTTCAGTTTTCTGAAAATAGATACCCTGTTTTGCCAGCATCATTTGTCTTTGCCTAACTTAATAGTTCCATCTCTTTCTCAAAATCGGTTATCTGTGTTGTTGTTGTTGATGGCCGTTCAGCATAACTCGTAGCGACCCTATGAACAAAAGGCCTGAAGCCTTTCTATAACTATCATCATTTATCAAAGTTCATAGAGTTTCAAGAGACATGCTGTTTAAGAAGTGGATGACACTCCTGTTTCCAAGTTATCTATAGGTATTGTATAAATTTTTTATTTTAAACCTTGCTGAACATGTTGACAAATCCTAGTAGTTTTTAATGAGTTCTTCATGATTTTTTTATATATAGGATCATAGCATCTGAAAACTTTGCTTTGTTTTATCTACTTCTTTTCTAATGTGAACAGCTCTTCCTTTCCTTTTCTTCCTAGTTTTTTGTGTTTTGGTGTTTTTTTCCTAGAACCTTGTTAAAAAGAAGCAGCAAGGACAGATATCCTTTTCGTGTTCATAATCTTAGGGTTGTGAAAATTAGTGTTTTCTTCTTAGTTCCTCTTGACTGGAAGAAGGTTTTTAGTTTTGATAAAAGCTTTTTTTCTGTTTATTGGACTGGTTGACTTGGGGCAGGGCGAATACGTCATGGCTCACGTACCACAGATTTTGGATGTTCCTACAAGGTTCAGAAGCCTTCTTAAATAAATGTTTCATTTTCTATTTGTAAAGTCTTTAAATGGTTGTTTGTTGGCTTTTTTTGTTTGTTTGGGGGTTTTTTGTTGTTTGTTTTTTTCAGTAATTTTCAGAGGTCATGGTTGTTTTGCTTAGAAAATCGATCACATTGGTATTTTTTTTAAAAATAATGTTCTTAAAATGTGAATGGTTAATACACAAAATTGTTTTAATCTTGTTCTTTTCTCCATCATTTATGTTTTAAGGCTGTGCATCCTAATTACCAAAACAATAATTTTGAAATAAAAAGAAATAATATTTCTGGATGAATAATAGTTACTTCCCCACATTCTCTCCCTTTTCTTTTAGAAGTTACTCTCTTGCAGTTTTGAGATTGTTTACAAATCTCACACTGAATAGACACTGAAGTTTGTTATGTTTGTATACCTGACTTTCTGAATTATTTCTGTCTCATCAAA